ACTGAAAACCATAAAACTAGAAGAAAACATAAGCAGAACACTCTTTTACATAAGACACAACAATATTTTTTGGATCTGTCTCTTCATGCAAAGATAAAGACAAACAAAAATAAACAAGTGGGACATAATTAAACTTAAAAGCCTTTGCTCAGCAAAGGAAACCATCAACAAAACAAAAAGACAACCTACTGAATGGGAAAAGCATTTGCAAGTGATATGTCCAATAAGGGATTAATACATAAAATATATAAATGGTTCATATAACTTAATCTAAAAAAACCCAAACAACCTGATTTCAAAATGGGAAGAAGACCTGAATAGACATATTTCCAAAAAAGACATATGGATGGTCAACAGGCACATGGAAAGATTCTCAAAGTCAGTAATAATCAGGGAATTGCAAATTAAAACCAAAATGAGGTATCATCTCACAACTGTCAGAATGACTATCATCAAAAATACCACAAATAACAAATTTGGGTGGGGATGTGGAGAAAAGGGAACCCTAGTAGTGGGAATGTAAATTGGTACAGCCACTGTGGAAAACAGTATGGAGATTCCTCAAAAACCTAAAAATAGAACTACCAAATGATCCAGTAATTCCATGTCTGAGTATATAGTCAAAGAAAACAAAAACACTAGTTTGAAAAGATATATGCACCCCAATGGTCATAGCAGCATTCTTTACACTAGCCAATATATGGAAGCAATCTAAGTGTCCATCAACAGATGAATGGATAAAGAAGGTGTATACATATATACAATGGAATATTGCTCAGCTGTAAAAAAGAGTGAAGTCTTGCCATTTGCAACAACATGGATGGATCTGGAAGGTACAGTGCATAGTGTATTAGTGTAATACGATATGCAGAGAAAGACAAAAACTATATGTTATCACTTATATGTGGAATCTAAAAACCAAAGTGAATGAATAAACAACAGAAACAGACTCAGATATAGAGAACAAATGAGTGGCTACCAGTAGGGAGACAGAAGCAGGGAGGGGCAAGACAGGGGTAGGGTATTAAGAGGTACAAACTGCTATGTATAAAATAAATAAGATACAAGGATATATTGTACAGCATGGGGAATATAGCCAATATTTTATAATAACTTTAAATGAGTGTAATTTATAAAAATATTGAATCACTATGTTGGACACCTAAGACTAATATAATATTGTAAATCAACTATGCTCTAAAATAATTAATTAAGTAATCAATTAGTTTTTAAAAAAGAAAATAAAACAGGGATTTCACATCCCCTTCCTGTTCTTTCTCTGTCTTTTTGCCAGTTCATATCCCTCTCCTGGATATTTAAACATTAGAAATCCTCAAGTCTCAGGCCTCTGCTCCCTTTTTTTCTGAGTCTGTATTCTCTCCCTGGGTGATCTCAACCATGTTCTTGGTTTCATCAAGAAAATTTAACTAAAATTAATGTCATCCATTGCAAGAGGCATTATTATTTTATGTATCACCAAGAAAGTAAAAAATGTTTCCAATTAAGTTATGATATCTAAAATCATCTATTTGCACCCCAAATTTGTTTATCTTTGTAGTATTCCAAACTCAGAAAATGATACCACCATTTACTTAGTTGTTCAAGATAAAAACTAGGAACCTGGGACTTCTCTCTACCTCGCCACCTCCTACCCTCATATCTAATCTGTCTCTATGTCCTATTACTTTTACATCTTAATTAATCCCTTAATATACTCCTCTCTCTGACCCTTACTGTCACAAATCCAATAGAAGCCACCACCTCTCTTGCCTCATTTACCTCAAAAGCATCCTAACTTGCCTCCCCAATCTTCTGATATGCTATTCAGCAGGCAGAGTGATCTTTTCAAAACCCAGATTTGGCCATGTCATTTCCCTGATGAAAACTCTTTAATAGCTTCTCATTAATCTCAAGAAAAAGTCCAAATTCTTTCTGTGGCCTATAAAGCTCCTACCCACCTCTCCACCCTTGTCTCATGACACTCTGTCCTGTGTTTCTCTACATGCCAACTACACACTGGTCTTATTTTTGATCCTCAAATACATCACCCTCCTCACTGCCTCAGGGCTTTGTACACATGCTCTCTCCTCTGCCCATACTCTCTTCCCTCTCTTTATCTAATTAATTCCTATTCATTCCTCATCCTTCAACTCAAACATCACCTCCTCAGGGAATTCTTACATGATCCCAGATTATGTGCTCTCATAGCACATTATTATTCTCATTTTCAAAATTTAAAATTTTGATTAATTTAGTATGTGAATCACAGCTTAATACTGAGCTTGGTACTTGAATGAAAGTTGCATGAAGGCAGGGGCTTTGCTAGGGACTGATCTAGATGCTATATCCTCATCACATAGCATAATGCTGGGAACAAAGTAGGTACTCAGTATTTGTTAAATGAATGGGTAAATTGATGATATATAAGAGTTAAGGTAGGGCTTCCCTGGTGGCGCAGTGGTTGAGAGTCCGCCTGCTGATGCCGGGGACACGGGTTCGTGCCCCGGTCTGGGAAGATCCCACATGCTGCGGAGAGGCTGGGCCTGTGAGCCATGGCCGCTGAGCCTGCGCATCCGGAGCCTGTGCTCCGCAATGGGAGAGGCCACAGCAGTGAGAGGCCCGCGTACCGCAAAAAAAAAAGAAAGAAAGAAAGAAAGAAAAAAGAAAAAGAGTTAAGGTAGAAAGAGGAATCAAAAATTATAGCCAGGTTTCTGGCTTTGGTGACTAAGTTGGATGGTAGCACTTCAGATACGAGGCAAGGGTAAAATGATTAATTTGGTTTTAGAAGAATGAGTTGGAGTTGCTTGTGAAATATATGGTAGGCAGTTTGATATATGAGTGTGGAGTTGGGGAAAAGAGCCTGGGATGTGGACATAAATTTAATAGCCATTAGCTCCAGGTGTTGAAACTGAGTGAGGGGATGAGATTATCCAGGGAATGAATGTGACATAAGAAAGATAGAAGGCCAAGGGCATATCTTTGTAAATAAGGATTAGACAGAGGAAAATAAACCATAGAAGAAAATGGATAAGGAAAGGACAGAGAAGCTAAAGAAAAATGAGAACAGTATGGTACCTTATAGGTCAACAGGGTTAAAAGTAGCATAAAGGGGGCTTCCCTGTTGGTGCAGTGGTTGAGAGTCCGCCTGCCAATGCAGGGGACACGGGTTCATGCCCCGGTCCGGGAAGATCCCACATGCCGCAGAGCGGCTGGGCCCATGAGCCATGGCCGCTGAGCCTGTGCGTCCGGAGCCTGTGCTCCGCAACGGGAGAGGCCACAACAGTGAGAGGCCCGCATACCGAAAAGAAAAACAAAAACGTAGCATAAGGGTCAAAAGAGTGTCTACTAGCTTTGCCAATGAGAAGGACACTGATAGAATGCTTAGGGACGTGAGTTGATAGGTGAAGCAGAAAGTGAAAGCTTTGAAATCCTGAATAAACAGCCCTTTTCTTGAAGCCTGCTGAGAAGAGAAGGGAAGGAGGTGATAGCTGGAGAGAGACCAGTGTCAAGGAAAACTTCTGGTTTTCCTTTAACACGTGAGAAACTTGCACAAGTCTGAATGTTAATAGGTCAAATTACAATGAAGTTACCCTTCTATAAATGAGATTGGGTTGCCAAATATGCAATTTGTTCCGTGACACATGTATTCAAGCCCAGGCTGGATACAGAACCACCTGAGGATTTCTTTTCTCAACTCTAAAATGAGAGTCAGGGTTAGACTGACTCTAGTCAGTCAGTCAGGGTTTAACCCACGTTTCCATAAGGTCTTTTGCACAAGTCCATCATGGCATAATGAAAAGAGCACTAGGCCAAGAATCTGGCAGACCTAGTTCTAGAATCTCAAATCAGTCACTGACCAGGACAACCTTATATATGTTATTTAGCCTGTCTCTGTCTCAATTTTCTTTATGTGTAAACCAACCTCATAAAATCATAAGGAGGATCAAAGGACAGAATGGATGTTGAAAGTGTAATAACATGATACATATATATATATATATGTATATTATATATATATATATATATATACACACACACTATAATGCTGCCAAGGGTTACTAAACTCTTGGGGAAGCCATAAAAATATTTTTAGTTAATGTATGCTTATTATAAAAAATTTGAGTTCATAAACTCATTTTATAACAACCCTCAGAGGTAGGCATTGGTATTACCCCCATTTTACAGATGAGGAACTGAAGTACAGACAGGTTAAGATGGTTGCTTAAGGTCATCCAGCTAGGGATCTTAGTAAAGATGTGAAACCAGAGAGTATAGCTCTAAAGTTTTGCATAATCATTATGGTATGGTATCCTTGGCCTAAAACCTAATCTTTTTTTTTTTTCAAATAACATAGACATTTATTTTTCCATCACATAAAAAAGATCTAGTAGTAGGCTGTTCAGGGCCGGTATGGTGACTCCATTATCCTTAGCACATGGTTTTCATCCTTAAGGTCACAGATCTCCCTGTGCTATGTGGTTGCTTCCCACTAACTATCTATTTTACATTTGGTAGTGTATATATATCCATGCCACTCTCTCACTTCGTTCCAGCTTACCCTTCGCCCTCCCCATGCCCATTTCTTCAAGTCCATTCTTTACGTCTGCGTCTTTATTCCTGTCCTGCCCCTAGGAGAACCTAATCTTTTAAAGGAAGGATCACCAACTCTTTTGGAAAAATCTGATGAAAGCTTTGGACCCTCTCTCCCCCGAAATACACAGAAATTCACACATATATGTTTTTACATACTATTTCAAGGAGCTCACTAACTGATCTTTACAACTGCCATAAATCCCTGCCATGTGGCTCATATAGGTATCTCAGATTAAAACTCCTTCCTTTAAAGTCTAAATTCCACCAATCTTAAACTCTAATTTAGCCTCAAATCTTGTCATTACAGCCCAGTTCTAGAAATGAATAGGGATCAGCTGAGGCTCCCATGCTACACTCTACCGCTGCCTACTGGACTGTCTGCTGTAATGACAACAACATCGCCATACCTGTAGCTTAGAGACCTCTTTAAATTTTCCAAAGCGCTTTCACAAGAAGGTGCTGTCACAGCTTGGTGGTCCAAAACCCCAAACTCAGCGGCCAGCGCCCGGGGTCCATCCTCCAGTCATTGCTGCTGAATCCTTCCCGTCATCCTCCACAGTACGGCGCGTGGGGGCGTCGCCACCATTTTGGCTTCTCCTACTGTCTGCGTCAGCAATAGCTAGGGAGACCAGCTTTTAGGATTCAGCAGAGGGCGCTGGAGTACCTCTTTCGAGGTGGAGCCTGTGGTTAGCCAAATAGGCAGAAACCTCAGCTTTCTGACCTGTTCTTTAGGGATTGGGCCACATTTTTTTCTTCTCAGACAGAATAAGCTTCCTTAGCACGCACTCCCTCAAACCCTCTTACCACTAACCATTCTTGGTCTTCTGACCAAGGGATGTTCTTTTGTCTGTTTTTAGTAGTAAAGTTTGCAAAACTCTGTAGTTAAAAATGTGGAAAAAACAAAGCCGTCCCCCCAAGAACCCAGCTTAACACCTCCTCCTCTGATCTTTCATTTTCTTGCTCTTCACACTTGCTATGCCCATCCCTGTAGTCGTTTTTTGCTGATCACACTTAAGTTCAAAACCAGGGAGTAGTAATCAAGGCACTAGACTGAGAATCAGGGCAGACCTTCAGATTTAAACTTTGTCACTTTATTATCTGTGTGATCAGTTCACTTGACCTCTCTAGGGTCTCAGTCCATAAAACTGAAAGGGTTGATTAATATTGGAGGAACTTTATGAGCCTTTTGTGACCTGTTAGGATTCTAAGTCTTCTCTTTTCTTTACACTTCCAAACTAGGCCACCCTTACCTTAATTCCCAGAGCAACATCTCTAAAATAGGTTTGCACACCCTTTTTTAAATCCCCTAATCCTTCCCTTTTGCCCACGAGAAAGCTCAAATCCCATATTGTGACATTAAAGACCTTCACAATCTTGTCTCTTCTTCCCTCTCTGACCTCCACCTTTGCTGTTTTACTCACAAACACCACAGTTTAGGTGGCATGGCTCCTATTGCCAAAACAAAATGGGTTAGATGCTGATTTAATCTTCACCCCAACATTGTCAAAAAGTACCATAATTATCTGTTTAGTTATCTTTCCCCCAGTCTAGGCTGTGAGCTCCTTGAAGACAGGAACCACTGCTGTATCTCCAGCTCCCAGAACAATGTGAGACACTTTGTAATTGTTGAATAAATACTTGTTGAATGAATGAATGATTATATGTTGCTGTGTCCCCAATACCTGGCACCATGCCAGGCATATAGTAGGTGTTCAATGAATACTGAATGAATAAACTAATTTGCAAAATATCATCAGCCTCCACAATATCTCTTTCATCCTGTTCTTCCTTCTTCAGTACCTTGTCAGGCACTAACCACTTCTACCTGGATTATGCGGAAGCCTTTTAACTAGTTTCCCATACCTAGTCTTTCTCCCATTAAGAGAATATTCCTTAAAATACAATTCTGCAATATTATTATTTGTTCCAAAATCTTCCAGGACTTTTTATTGCCTACGTGATTAAGTCTGAACTCTTTCACCAGGCAATCAAGACCCTTAACCAACCTGACTCGTCGTTAGTCTGGTGCTCCAGGCAAACAAGATTACTTCCTATACCTCAACCTATGCTCTACTTGTCCCAATCCATATACAGTAAGACCAGGTGAGAAATAATAAAGACTCAAATGAGGTCCCAGGAAGTGGGGATGAAGAATAGGGGATGGATTTGAAGACATACACACTTAAAAGGTAAGTTTCTCTTAGTTCAGTCTACTTCTTCATTTCACAAGCACTACCAGACTTCTTTAGGGAAATCGTCCCCTCATTCTGGAAATAATACAAGCCAACATTCTTCAGGAGCTTCTTGTGTGTCAAACATTGTTATAAGTGCTCTGCATGCATTAATGTATTTAATATTCACAGTAGCCTTTAAGGTAGATACTATTGGTGTCCTCTATGTATAAAGGCACTGAGGCATATTTAGGATTGTAACCTGCTCAGTGTCATGTAACCAATGAAAATAGCAGATCTGGAACTTAACCCAGGTAGACATACCCTGGGGTTGTGGTCTGAACTACTACACTACATTATCAAACGCTTCTCTTGGCTGTCATGGTTCTGCTTATTTAGAATTTTCTATTTCCTTTTGTGATAGTATCACCTTCCTCTTTTTTTTCTTTTTTGGAAAAGGGATTTTAGTTTTTAAAGATTTTCTATTTTCTATTGGAGTATAGTTGATCAACAATGTTGTGCTAGTTTCAGGTGTACAGCAGAGTGATTTGGCTATACATATACATGTAACCATTCCTTTTCAAATTCTTTTCCCATTTAGGTTGTCACATAATACTGAGCAGAATTCCCTGGGCTATTCCATAGTTCCTTGTTGGTTTTCCATTTTAAATGTAGCAGTGTGTATGTGTCAATACTAAACTCCCTAACTATCCCTCCCCCCATCCTTCCCCCTTGGTAACCACAAGTTCATTCTCTAAGTCTGTGGGTCTGTTTCTGTTTTGTACATAGGTTCATTTGTATCATTTATTTTAGATCCCTCATATAAGTGATGTCATACGATATTTGTATTTCTCTGACTTACTTCACTCAGTATGACAGTCTCTAGGTTCATGCATTTTGCCACAAATGACATTGTTTCATTCTTTTTAATGGCTGAGTAATAATCCATTGTATATATGTACCACATCTTCTTTATCCATCCCTGTGTTGATAGACATTTAGGTTGCTTCCACGTCTTGGCTATGGTAAATAGTGCTGCAATGAACATTGGGGTGCATGCTTCCTTTGGGAACATGTTTTTCTCTGGATATATGCCCAGGAGTGGGATTGTAGGATCATATGGTAGCTCTATTTTTAGTTTGTTGTGGAACCTCCATTCTGTTCTCCACAGTGGCTGCACCAATTTACATTCCCACCAATAGTGTAGGAGGATTCCCTTTTCTCCACACCCTCTCCAACATTTATTGTTTGTAGATTTTTTGATGATGGCCACTCTGACTGGTGTGAGGTGATATCTCATTGTAGTTTTGATTTGCATTCCTCTAATAATTAGCGATGTTGAACATCTTCTCATGCGCCTCTTGGCCATCTGTATGTCTTCTTTGTAAAAATGTCTCTTTTGGTCTTCTGCCCATTTTTTGATTGGGTTGTTTGTTTTTATGACACTAAGCTGCATGAGCTGTTTGTAAAATTTTGGGACTAATCCTCTGTCGGTCGCATCATTTGCAAATAATTTCTCCTCTTCTGTTGGTTGTGTTTTCGTTTTGTTTATGTTTTCCTTTGCTGTGCTAAAGCTTTTGAGTTTAATTAGGTCCTTTTTTTTTTTTGCTGTACACGGGCCTCTCACAGTTGTGGCCTCTCCCGTTGTGGAGCACAGGCTCCGGATGCGCAGGCTCAGTGGCCATGGCTCACAGGCCAAGCCACTCCATGGCATGTGGGATCTTCCTGGACCGGGGCATGAACCCGTGTCCCCTGCATCGGCAGGCGGACTCTCAACCACTGCACCACCAGGGAAGCCCTAGGTCCTATTTTTTTAATTTTTGTTTTTATTTCTATTACTCTGGGAGATGAATCAAAAAAGATATTGCTGCGATTTATGGCAGAGTGTGTTCTGGCCTATGTTTTCCTCTAAGTGTTTTATAGTGTGTGGTCTTACATTTAGGTTTTTAAACTATTTTGAGTTTATTTTTGTGTATGGTGTTAAAGAGTGTTTTACTTTTATTTTCTTACATGTAACTGTCTAGTTTTCCCAGCATCACTTATTGAAGACACTGTCTTTTCTCCATTGTATAGTCTTGTCTCCTTTGTCATAGATTAATTCACCATAAGTGTGTGGGTTTATTTCTGGGCTTTCTATCCTGTTCCACTGATCTGTATTTCTGTTTTTGTGCCAGCATCATACTGTTTTGCTGACTGTAGCTTTGTAGTATGGTCTGGAGTCAGGCAGCCTGATTCCTCCAGCTCCATTTTTCTTCCTCAAGATTGCTTTGGCTATTCGGGGTCTTTTGTGTCTCAATACAGATTTTAAGATTTTTTGTCTAGTTCTGTGAAAAATGCCATTAGTAGTTTGATAGAGATTGCATTGAATCTGTAGATTGCTTTGGGTAGTATAGTAATTTTGACAATATTAATTCTTCCCATCCATCTGTGTTGTCTTTGATTTCTTTCATCAGTGTCTTACAGTTTTTAGAGTAGAGGTCTTTTGTCTCCTTAGGTAGGTTTGTTTCTAAGTATTTTACTTATTATTTATTTTGATGCAGTGGTAAATGGGATTGTTTCTTTAATTTCTCTTTCTGATCTTTTGGTGTTAGTGTATAGAAATGCAACGGATTTCTGTGCATTAATTTTGTATCCTTCAACTTTATGAAATTCATTGATGAGTTCTAGTAGTTTTCTGGTAGTGTCTTCAGGATTTTTTATGTATAGTATCATGTCATCTGCAAACAGTGACAGTTTTACTTCTTTTCCAATTTGAATTCCATTTATTTCTTTTTCTTCTCTGATTGCCATGGCTAGGACTTCCAAAACTATGTTGAATAATAGTGGTGAGACTGGGCATCCTTGTCTTGCTCATGATCTTACAGGAAGTTCTTTTGGCTTTTCACCATTGAGTAAGATGTTAGCTATGTGTTTGTCATATATGGCCTTTATTAAATTGAGGTATGTTCCCTCTATGCCCTCTTTCTGGAGAGTTTTTTTTTTTTGCAGTATGCTGACCTCTCACCGTTGTGGCCTCTCCCATTGCAGAGCACAGGCTCCGGACGCGCAGCCTCAGCGGCCATGGCTCATGGGCCCAGCCGCTCCGCGGCATGTGGGATCCTCCCGGACCGGAACACGAACCCGTGTCCCCTGCATCGGCAGGCGGACTCTCAACCGCTGCACCACCAGGGAAGCCCTGGAGGGTTTTTATCATAAATGTGGGTTGAATTTTTTCAAAAGCTTTTCCTGCATCTATTGAGATGATCATATGGCATTTATTCTTCAATTTGTTGATGTGGTGTATCACACTGATTGATATGCAGATGTTGAAAAATCTTTGCATCCTTGGGATAAAACTCACTTGATCATGGTGTATGATCCTTTTAATGTATTTTTGGATTCAGATT